TTACATTAGTAAGTATTTAAAAAAATATTAATTGGTCTTTAATTTATATCACTTATTTATTCTATTATTTTATTCTATACTTTTATTCTATTTTCGAAATAATTTTTATCAATTTATAATTTCATAGGTAAGAATTATTACAGTTTCAAAACCCACTTCGTCGTCATACACTACTTTGAATTCATAAAATGTACTGTAATCATATATATATTTACAAACCAATTCGAAAAAAAATATATATAGTATTCAATATCTCCTATTCATTTATTCATTATTTATCTAAAAAAAATCTCTATCTTTATTATTTTTTATTCACTTTGAATTTAAAGGAAATTTGATTTTACTTTTATTAGAATTACTCTTGAAATAACACCAAGACAATTTAAAAACAATAGGCTAAACTTCAGAACGATTTAAAATTTAAAAACTCAGAACTAAACTTCAAAATTAACATATTAAGAATGAAAAAAAAAAATCTCCAGTAAACTTTTCATTTCCATTAAAAAAATTTGCCAATTCTTACAAAACTAAGTTACTATTGAAAAATATATAAACATTTTAGTTAGACAAACTGAAGATTTTTTGTTGTTTAGAAGTAGAATATCAACAAGGCGAAATATATGGGCTCATTACATAATTACTAAAAAGCATTAAAAGTATTTAAGGCCTCCTAAAGATTGACTATTGTATTGAATAAGCCTTTTATTTGTAAATTTTTTTATTTATTGGCGATTCCAAAACTCGAGTTGTCAAATAAAATAATACAGTTAACTATAATAATAATAATAACAACCCAATTTCAATGCATTATATTTTAATGATTTTCATAGTGTCGCATATCTCAACCAAGAGTGTAATCTTTATGAAGCAGCTAAACGAATATGAAGTGGAATGGGAAAAATTTATTTCTTAAAAAAACTTAATCCCCTGTCCGCCTAACGGTAGGACATCCCCCATTTTACAAATTATACAACTGTTCATTTAATTGTACTAGTCGTTACTCAAATTGTATAATTGTAATTTACATCAATTCTTTAGTTGAGATTGTATATTTTTTTATTAACATAAAATAAAAAGAACGAAACCCAAGTTCGGCAAAATTATTAATTTCTTTAAATTTCTGAGAATGAAAAGTGAGGTATCTTTGTTACGGTCCGTCCCGCTTTGTACGTGTAAAATAAAACATGACCCGGTCACTAAAAACTTTTTTTTAAATAATGGAGATTATTTTTTAAAAGGTTTTGTTACAACCTTTCAATGTTTTGTATCTTTAAAGTATTTTTTAATGGTAAATTCTTTATAACATCAAATATGTGTTAAAGCTAAAATGGCCCTTAAGTGGTTGAAAAAGTCATAAATAAATATATGATATTAATAAAGATTGTGCCTAATGCCTAATACTTTTTTGCAAGGCTGTATTGACACCATAAAGGACAGTTTTATTTCTGTATAAGGGATAACCCATATATTGGTCGATGACTTGAGGTTAAATCACCCCCATTATATTTCACACCTTATATTTTTACACCCCATTACATTATATATACACACATATTTAAAAAAAAACATTGCAGATGCCTTATACTTTAAACGGCCAAAGCTGTATTGACACCATGACAGACAGTTCTATTTCGGTCTGAGGGGTAACCCATATATTGGTCGATGACCTGGGGTTAAACCACCCCCTACTGTTGCCAGTCCCCAATGGTAGCTCGCAAAGGGTCACCGGGTCACATTCAATATGCAGTAAGTCACAAAGGGGCTTCGATCCGTCATTCATACCATGAAATGGAAAGTATCCCATTACTAAATTATCACAGCCGGGGGTCATTAATTTATAATTTGACCCCATTCAGAGGTATTCAATTTATTGTATTAATAGTCAATTTAAAAAAAAATCAGAGAAATAAATTTTAAAAAATAAACAGTATTAAACATTGGTATATAAATGGTTTCATTAAACGTTTTGTTGCTTTTTTTTTTTTTACTTAGTTTACTACATATGTTTCCGTTATTTTTGGTTACATAATATTAAATACAAAATATACCTAATTATTATTAATATTAAATAATCACATTAAGCCTCAGTTGCACTTTATTTATCTTTTTCGACCAAAACACCATTTGTATTTATCTTAAAATATGTTCCAAGAAGTTATGAGAAGTACTTTATTCATTTATTGCACCAGAGAATTTAATTAGGATGTGAAGTTGGAAGATTAATTTCTGAGCTACCAAGAAATAATTGGATTGTTTTTTTTATCACTGCTTTTATGAAATCTCTATTATTGTTGACAAATGAAGTAAGCACCCCTCTTGTATTCCAATTATATTACTAGAGTATTTTCCATTAATGATAAGAAACTGAATGACAGTCAAACCCTCCAGACTATTATTAGACGAATTAAAATCAGAATAAATGACTTTTGAAATGTGATCGATCGGGTAAAGGGTGATAAAAAAATTAATAAAAATGGTCCAAAGAATATGATAAAATTCTATATAATAATGGAACATTAATTTGTCCCTAACTTACTTCATCTTTAAGCTGAATCGACCAGCTGATTTTGAAATATAGTTATGCAGGAAAATTAGTTTCCAAATACGTTAATTGGTCGCAACACCTAATGTAATGAATGCAATTTTATAAAATTGATACGAAGCCATCTAGATACCAATTTAAAAATTTCTAGAAAGCGATATTTACATAATACATGTTTTGCCAGTCGCATGGGTTAATCTATTTTTTGTTTGTTACTACAGAGGGAGCTAGGTGGCCAAACTGGTAAACTGAAGATTACATTAGTTTTTTTTTATTTTCTTCGTGAACACTTTCGGTTGTGAGAAAGTAAAAAATATACTACCCCGAAATAAAAGAAAATAATACTGATAAAATTATATACTTTTATAGTAACTAGGCTAAGTCTGTAATACAAACAACAATTTCATCTCAAAGACTTTTTTAACTAATGACAACGATAATTCTGTTTGTTATTTTATACAAATATAGTTGTATTCTCTCACTCTATTACCAAAAACTAGGTTTGTTGAAATATCAGTTAAATTTTTATTAAATAATTTAATAATTTTATCAATTTTTTAACAGATTGGATCTTTTAGAATAGAAATTGTACGTTTAGTGACAGTTCATCGCGGCGCACTGTAAACATTAACGCTAATCTAGCGTGTAAAAAAATAAAACCACCATCTCGCTCAAAGTAATATTTATAGTAAATCCTTTTAAGTAAACAGTTGTTACGAATAATAGGGAAGAAATCTCGAACTTTCTCCGTAAGGTCGCCTTAGATTTTCTCCAATCAACAGGAAAGGTTTAATATATATCCGTTTTCTACTGAATTCTTTTACGGAGAAATTTCAAAGTTTAAAGGTGCATTCAAAACCTTAGTTCATCTTAATTCAATTTTTTTTATCTCGAAAATGTCAATTTTTATGCAATCTTACTGTTAACGCCGCATATGCTCATATCTTTATTTTTGTTCCTTGTTGTTTTTCCCCACCATCCCTTTTTTAATGTTGATTTATGAATGTTTATTTATCTTTTTTCTTTGTAAAAGTTTGAGATATAATTGTCCCGGAAATGAATATTATTGGTATATTGAGCATTTTACGATGTGTTATCGCGTTGTATATACACACTGCCGGAAAGTCAGTCTGGAGCGATCCTTCGTTTATGTTGGATCCATGTAGTCGACGTCACCCCTACTAGTTCCAGGTTCACCTCACCTCACCTGGCATCAGCCTAACGCCATTTTGAAGAGTCCAGCTGTGTCATCGATCATGTTCGATATGCATATCGATTCCCCCACCATCGACGGGCTTCAACATTAGCTGAAGACCACACGTAACCTCTTTGGAAGTATAACCTCCAACTTGGGATATCTTCTCTCACCGCTGCCAAAGGCATTTTTTTAATTTAGTTAATATTTTTCTTCACTAAATTAATTCTTTTTTTTCTTGGATTTAATTTCACTGGATGAATTTTTTCTTTAATTTTGGAAGTTTATTTTTGTATATGTTTTATTTTGATGGACAATTTTTTTTATTTCTCATTGAGTATTGTCTTTATGTTTTAAATCTTGTGTGTATATATTTCATCTTTTTTTATTTCAATTCAATAAATATTGTAAACATTTAGAAGGGTATTTTTTTATCTTAACATATTTAATTAATGAGTAATTATATAATATTTTGATATGCATGCATTTTTCATGTTTTACAGGTCACGTTTGTACTCTTTTCTTCCCTTCTTCCCCACCATTTAATTTTGCTCGAATTTTTCCCACCTTTGAGGTAACTCACCGGGGAAAGGTTTGTATTTTAATTTTGAAATACCTCTGGCCCCAACACTTACGAAGATCGCCAACTTCAGATCTTCCTTAATGTTTAGTGTTTGTTTTAAATATTTTTTTCTTTTCAACGTATTTTTCTCTTTGCTTAATATTTTTGCATTTTCAAACATGATTTTATGATTATGTCTAACATGTGAGTGCTTAAAGCTGTGTGGTTTCTTTTATATTTTATAGACTTTTAATGTTTTTATTATTTTTTTTTAATTTTGTAGTTTTCTTTTTTTTAAATTTTATCCTTGATTCATTAATACAATCAACTAATAAATATATAAATTTAAAAAAAAACTTATCATATACCTAACATCGTGTAACGTTGGAAACCGAAATTTTAAAAGCAAATCTATCGTCCAAAATATGGTTCTCTTAAATCTGAGACATATACATACTCGGATGATTCATATACAAATAAATATTATTATTTACACAAACGGCATTACGATCCCTGCTACACACCTGTGTGTATATTTAGGAGGAGTATGACCCCCGCGGAGGCGACTCTTACGCAAACATGGCTGACTCACTACTCACCGCTCTCCCTCTCTCTCTCCTCGCGAACTAATAATACACCGCTCAAATGATATTTTCTTCCACGCCATGACTTGTTTACTCCTGGCATAAAAGCCAAGATGGATGCAGCCAGTCATCCAGGACGGCAGGAATAGCCAAATCACATTTCCAGTAGCTGCTATCATCCTTCTACGTCAGGGCCGGCCGGGTAGAGCAAATCCAATCCCTCGGCTTTCCTACTGCGCCCCACTTTGGTATCCCCTCGGTGGGAAAGAAAACACACCGGTATAACAAACATCTAGTTTTCACTATATAAAAAAAAAAAAAAAAAGTCGACGCGAAATTCACAAATAAAAACTAGCTACGATATCCATAAGTAGTATATTAAAAATCTGGTGAGCGCATCACACAACTTTCACTTACCGCTCTACTTTGAAAAGAAATTTTCTGGTAATGTTGTGCTATTATAAAATTTTTGAAGTGTATTTTAAACGGACCTAAAGCTTAAAGCTTACAGGTAACAAACCATTAAGACCATTAAAAAATACAAAAAGTCTATTTATTACATCCAAGGTATGCAATAGAAATCTAGTTACTCCATCTGCTTTTATAAACCAAATAACTTCAGTCTCCAGAGCCTTTCAATTGCCATCGGATGAAATTGGAGTTAGTCATTAGTGGTAAAAACTATTTTTTATTAAAAGCCGATGTTTCGACCCGACTTTGCAGGTCTTATTCAGGGATAGAACAAACAAGATACAAAAGATAGAAAATTGTAGCAGTTACATAATATTTAGACAAAATTTATAAACAATGTGAATAAGCTTATTGAAATTATAAACAGTAAGTACATTGAAATATGAACAAAGTAAGCTAAGTAACAAGATCCTAAACTGAAGTAAATAGATGTTAACAATTGTTGTAGTGTAATATATATTAAATGCAAATGTGAGTATAATTCTACAAATCTACAGGAGAGATTGAAAGAAAAGGAAAAAGGATATAACATGAAATAATAGACATTCTCCACATTCCTTTATGTCTATTATTTCATATTATATCCTATTATATTTCAAATTTTTAAAAATAGTTTGGACGGTATCTAAGTCTATTCAAATGGTTTAGATGTCTGTTGATTCCTTTTATTTGAACAATACTACGACTTTATAGTTTTGGGTCGTCTTATATAAATCCCCTTAAAACAGCGACATATGACGTTTTGATTTAAGTAGTAATTTTTTTAATTAATTGGTTAATTAAAAAAACGATTATATAGCCCATAAGCATCTTTCAAGAGTAATAAATAACAATAAAAATTGTATTCCATTAGTTTTATGATTAATGAGCCTAGACGTGGAGAAAGCACATACCACCCCGCGCCTCAGGATATTAAGCTTTTACTGGGATTACTTGCTACTAGTCCAGAGGATATTGCGAATTCCTCAAAGCTTAATTTCACTGTAAAGTATTGAAAGCTCCAAATTGTATAAGCGAATAAAGTAATTTAATTAATCTTCTTCGTAATTTAATTTTATTAAACATTTAAAATATATAATATTTCATTAAAAAATATAATTATTTTCTTTTTGAATTCTAATGAGTTCATTACGTTTTTTTTTTACAAATAAAAATACATTATAGCGGTGTTGTTTGTATCTGAATGCATTCCTTATTATCGGACATAGTTAAAAAAATATAAGTGAATATATATATATATATATATATATATATATATATTTTTTTAATTTAAAAGACACGTTTCATCACACGATTCATCACAAACTTCAATAATATATGTCAGTGATTCCCTGAACGGTTGTTTGCAATGCACATTCCTCAGTTTATCGTTTTAGATGTGAAGAGTTTGAAGCATCGTTTTTTTCTTGGATTTGGTTTAAAAATAGTTTTATTACACATTATTCTCCTTTGTCGAAATACATATTTCTGAATATGAGTACTGCTTAGATAAATGAAAGGATCGCTTTCCGGTTTAACCTTTTAAGTGGACGATGTCTGATTAATAAAGAAAACTTATCAGGTCCCAGCAACATGATTTACTGAAGGGGAATCTTCTCGATTTATCCCATAATATAGAATATTTTGACAGTCATGAATGCCAGTCATGTTAAATTTAAACAATTATTTAATTCTCACTTTTAGAATTATTCAATCGATTTAGTCTGAGTGTATTTTAATGAGATTGCAATATTTTTTTCTATATTATTGATCATCTGCCACCAATCTTGCCGTAATGGTTGTTTTTATCGGAATCAACTTTTATTATTTAAAATTTATATAATCTTGATAGACATTCTCTGATGAAACTTATTAAACTAAATAATTTTTTTTTTATATATCTCCCAAATACATATTATTTATACATCACTTTATTTTTACTTCGTAATTTTTTTGTCTAAGTTTAATTATAATAATAATTGTAACATTTCATATCATTGACCTACGTAATTACTATGTCGTTGAGACTTGTAAAAAAATTGTTTTTTTCTTTTTTTTTTTTTCTGGAGCCCTCTTTTCCTTCTCGTATTGTGGAACAAAAGTTGTTCGGGTTCTCTGACTGTAGATATACTTGCTTTTGTGACGTTTATTTTAAATATTAAACAATACATTATTTATTTTTAAGGAAGGAGATGGTCCAGAGTGACGGTCGTAAATAGACTTAATAGTGGCAAAACTATTTTATTAAAAACCAACGTTTCGACTCGACTTGGCAGGTCTTCATTAGGGCTAGAACGGACAAGATAAAAAAGATATAGAGAATTGTGGAAGTTACATCATATTTAGATAAAAAAAAATATAAACAATGTGAATAAACTTATTAAAATTATAAACAGTAAGAACATTAAAATATCAAAAACAATAAATTGTATAAACAGAGTAAGCTGAGCAACCAGATCCTAAACTTAAGTAAATAGATGGTAACAGTTGTTGTAGTATAATATAAAATATAATATATGCAATTGCGAATATATTCCTACAAATCTACAGAAGAGATTGGAAGAAAAGGAAAAAGGATATAATATGAAATAATGGACATGAAGGGATGTGGAGAAAGAAAACAAAAAAGAAGAAGAAAAATAAAAAAATAAGTGAAGTATCTTGTCCATTCTAGCACTGAAGAAGACCTGCAAAGTCTGGTCGAAACGTTGGCTTTTAATAAAAATAGTTTTGCCACTATTTAGTCTATTTATGACTGCCACCCCGAATCATCTCTTTCCTTATTAATACAACGGTCAACTATTAAGTATTCATTATTTATATTTCCTGATATTTATTATATTGTTTTGCCATTATGTAATTTCTTTAGATATGGTATTGATGCATTCTTTCATCACTTAAAAAAAATATTTTTCAATTTTCTGAAATTGTCCGAGTTGATGCCTATACTACTAACATATCAATGAAAGTATTTTGAAAATGCATTTTCCAAGATTCGCATATATTTTATAATAAAGGACTTTGTTTCCATTATCTTTTTACGTTGTTTCGTTTTTAATTGCTTTTTTTAATGATTTTTTTTAAAATTTTTTGTATTGTTTCACTTGAAGTGAATCTTGTATAGTATCTATTTTAGGACTTCATAAATTATAATCATTGAGACTTACACTTAAAATTGAACTTTATTACCTAACCCACAATCATTCTTTAAACTTTTTTTTTGAGCGATGTAGAAAAAATCGATGTAGAAAAATGATCAGAAGAAAATCATACAGACTCGAACACATGTTGCTTTCGCTAGCTCTCTCCCTACAATTATAACTACAAATCATTAAACGCGACCTGCGACCAATGCTGTGTATGAAGATCCCCTCTTCATATATTTTAAAGGCGGGATGAAATCTTCAGCAATTTCAAAATACTGTGTTGAGGAAAGTAATAAGGACTAGGTCGATGTGGAGGTTAAAACCGGGTCAACTCTACAGGCTCCACGAATAACACTGCAGTGATATTTATTTAGCGTTTATTCAGCGAAAAAAGGAAGTAGAAAACAGAAATAGATAAAATTGATAAGCATAATTTTTCACTAATTCCCAAATTTGGTCAATTTTTTGGCCAAATCAAACAAGCCGTTTTTGATATATATGCCTAACTGAAACACACATTTTCAAAAGACTTTAATTGATATGGTAAGTATAGGCATCAATTCGGACAATCTCTGAAATTTCTTTTTTTTTTTTTTTTTTTATTGAAAAATATTACAAACTGTCTTAAGGACATTTATAATAGTGTTCAGAGATCACATTCACCCTCTCTCTGAAAATTGAAAAAAACTTTTTAAGGGATAAAAGAATTCATCAATACCATATCTAAAGAAACTATAAAGAACCCGAACAAATTTCGTCCTGCAATAGAAGAAAAACTGGGACTAAAGAAAGAAAAAAACAAATTTACAAATCACTGCTATATAATTATTACGAAGGTCAATAATATGAATGTTACAATTACTAACATGATTAAACAATTTACAATATTTATGTAGGTTTCTTTCGGGTTTCCATTTAGGAAGAATAGTTTCAAATCATAAAATTACAAGTAAAATCAATGTACAATAAATCTTATTTTGTTTATAATTAAAATATGAAGAATACAAAAATTATTTCAAAAAATAAATTTATCTTTGGGGGGGGGGGAGAGGAGAGAAGAGCGCTCCTTTCTTTTCTCCGCCCTCTACTTTCTGGGTTTTTATGAAAACGCGTCAAGGCAAACCACCATATATTTCTGCCAAAAGAGTTTGGATTATAAAGAACCTATTCCCATGTTGTTTTTAATTTTTTTATTTTATTCTAAAACAATATGTTTAAGAAAAAACAACTGTCATTACAGCCAGAAGCTTTGAACCATACTCTTGGATCATATTACCCCTTCATAACTTTCTCCAGAGCCGGTCTAGCTGGAGAAGACACCGTCACGGATATCAGAGTATCCAGGTACCCAAACTACAAATGGCTAGTATAGAATTCAGGAACGTAATGGAAAGTGAACGCACGTACTCCAGACCCCGTTCGAGTAGTTCACAAGATTTTTCATTTCCGAAACAGTATAACTAATTCGTAAACGCCAAAGAAAGTTAAAACTAATAAAGCGTATACCGGGTGTATATAGCACAGTTGGATATATGGGCGTATAGTTGTAAATACGTAAATAACTTTAACATGTGCCGATCTACTATATAAAGTTAATAATAATTAATTATTATATATATTTTCAGGAATTGTACTAGCTCTAAAAATCCTGAAAATGAAGAATACTTACGCCAAAAAGTAGGCATGCATACTTTTGCTTGATCGCATCCCCTATCATCTTTTACTTACATTATTCTCTTATTTTATACTTAGATTACATCTTACATCTATATGTCAATTTATGTATACTTATTAGCAACATTAACATATTTGAGTTACTGGCCGAGGTACGGCTTAGTGCCATCTGTATAAGAAATAAATTGCAATAATACACGAACCAAAATAAAAGTGATAATAAGTTTAATGTTAGTGATTAATAAGTAAATAAACATCACTAACATAGTGGGAAGAATTTAATAAGACTTTTTAAATAACTCGATGGCTGTATTCTTTAAATAAAGAAATATATATTAAATAGATATATTTTTTTTTATTAATATAAATTTACTAAAGCCTACATTGAGTAACAGAAATATTTTAAATTGTAGACATTTATAGTTTAAAACAGTAGGAAAGTTTTAAAATCTTCACAATAAATTAAAATAAAAACAAGAAATAGTTTATATAGAATCCATTGGGTATAATCTCCCAATATCCATTGGGGATAAGGATAAAATTAAAACATATAAAATGATAATTTTAAGGAAACCTAATTATATTTTCAGATTTTCCTGTTAAAGCAAATCATGAATAATGAAGGGAAAGAAAAATAAAATAATCAAATATAGAGTATAACATAATAAAGAAAAACGACATTAGTAATGTTAATGTTTCAAAATAAAAATACAGAATTGAAAACGGGTTTCATAACTCCAATGAATTATTATACACGAATTTAACAAACAATAATAAAAAATAATAAATTTTAAAAAGTTCTTAAAACTTCTTACAAGCTACTTGAAAATTCACACCACCCAATGATTTGCAAAAAGCATTGAAGCTTACAAACAGAGTTATATAATCCTTGGAACTATTCCAGGACTCCTAGACGAAGTTCACTGAACTATCTATCCGACCGAAGATGGTAATTTTGCTGAAATGGGCAGCATGTCAAACAATGCGTTGGCGCTTCCTTCCATAGGAAAAGATATTGGCAGAAATGAATTATTAAACCATACAATGATGTCTAACATTTTTTTTTTTTTGTAAGTATTCAAAACTAATTTTCAAGAACTTTTAAATGACAAAAAACCGAATTATGTTTTAATAGATATTACATGTAGGATCCAGCAATCATAGAGCAAACACCTCGACAGAAATTCAACGAATTTGAACCATTATTGATTATTGATTGGTAATACACGTTACGAGGAATTGGATTTGCGTAACCTGTACATAACACTACCGATAGATTCCAATTAAAATATTCGTGAATATTTAAATGAATTATTTATTTCAATTTATTTATTTTATATATATATATTCACTTTCCAGTGACGTCTGAAGATCAATATTGTTTTTCGATGAACGCAAGATTTTGAAAAAAAAAATTTAAACTAATATATGAGGTTAGTGCAAGCGACAAATTCCGGTTCGATGTAACACCGAAATTTTGAATAAATTTAGCCAAACTTCTAGCAATATTTTAGGTTATTTGATTTCAAGAGGGCTGCCGAAGAAGGCGAAATGAAAGGCCAATAAAAAACTTCCTATATAGACCTATAAGTGAGGCCAGTATAGCTTAAAATATGTTTTTTTGGCCATTTTCTAAAATAAAAGTAATATTAAATAAATTAAAAAAAAAAATAAAGAAATTTTGAGATATGGAAAGATAAATTAAATTGGCGAAACAAATCGAAGAATTTTTATTACAATACTAGTTCGCCCGTGCGAATAATTCGCAGAAAAAAATTTGTTTACTAAAAAAATAGCAAAACAATATGGAAATAAGTAGTTCGTATGCATTATGTAAGGAAGGAATTAAAAATTTTTCATTGGTCGATTACAATATTCCATTAAACATAATAGACCAAAATATTTGTACAAATTGCTTTGCTAGGACCTATTTTTAAAGACTAACTGAAAAGATAAGAAAATTAATAAAGGGAAAATAATTCCTCGATCATGGGATTTTCTAAATTATTAATAAAAAAAAATGTAAGAACAACCAAATGTCGTTAAGAAATAATAAAATTAATATATCCAAAAAAAAAGTGTAGTAGAATAGATAATCCAATATCTTTAAAGAGGGAGAGATTATTAAGAATATCAAAAATAATGGACTGTATCTTTTGTATATGTATGTATGGACTGTAGATTTTTTTTTGTTTTGTAGGTAATTTAGTAATCTTTCTAATTATCGTGGATACAATCTCCTCCATAACTTTTTCCCCAGTTCGAGGGGGGGAGGGATGGCAGTATTTTTTCGCATGTGAAGTAGAAGAATATCTTCAAAATGAGTGGTCAATCATTGAATTTGATGAAGAATTTACGAAGTTATGGCGTACCGACCAAAAAACAACTTTTATAAATAATATATAGGATTAGAACTGTTTTCACAGATATACTAAGCTATACCAGTTCCAGATTAGGTAAAAAAGTATTGTTTTTTACGAATTTTGTAAACATCGATTTTATGTTTACATTGCCTACACGTCTCGCTAAGATAATTGCCTCACAAATTCTAATTATATATTTCTAGACACGTCCAAATTACTTTTAGTATGCCCATATCACATTTAATAATTAAAATAATGAACAATCGATTATGAATCCTGGCTCTATGAAGTTATCGAATGCAAGTTTGATAAGAACTGAAACCGAAGAAGGTGCACTTGGGGTTGGAAGGGAGCCCTATTGGCAAGGCAACGGCACACGGTCCCTAAACTATTTACCAGCTGACAGCGAGTGCATATATTCCATTCTATTTACAATCCCCAACGCCTCGAATATTCTCTGAACGACTCTTACGTTGAGTAATCTTCCCATGACCTTAAATTCAAAATGGACCTTGGAATAATTTAAATAAAACAGACGAAATTATAAATTAGGAAAATTGATGTGGACGCCATCATTGTATTCGATTCCGAATTAAACCAACCAGAATACCAGAACAAGCGAAATCAAAACATATATTAAATTTATAATTTTATACATCTATCGGCTTCAACTGAAAGGGGTGCACAGGAATCTTGGATATTACCTAAAGATAGTAAAGTTTCGTCAAAGAGAACGGCACACCCCTATTTGCTCCTGTTAGTCACCGAAGAGCACGTGGGTCGGTATCAACCTATACCCAATAATAGTATAACGTCATAGTTGCATGGTGATAAAAAAAAACAAATTACGTTTTGCCGAAGTTAAAGTAGCCAGTATTCATATTATGTTATAGTTATAGTATTTTCCATAACGTACAGCTCTTAAAATTTGTTTCTAAGTTATTAAATTATTTAATAATGAACACTGCATCCTTTACCGCAAGGGCACATATATTGTATAGAAAGGGAACTTTTATTAGAGACCGCATTTAGGTTAAGCAGTAATAAAGAATCTACGTTCATCTGTATGAATGACCTAGTGAGTAAAAAAAAAATTTATATTTAAAAAAAAAATGTTTGGACTATTTGGATTACTGATGGTTGTTAAATAATATGTGTCTGATAAAATTTGAATTGTAAAAACTAAATTAAAATTAGTTTTGTAGGATCTTGAAAATGGCTCCTGAAGTCGAAACGTCGAATAAAGAATACAGGATATAAAAACCGTGTATATTTGGTGACCTTTGGCCTAAAATATATATAAAAAACTTATGAATCTACGTTTAGTTTAGGCAAAGATAAAAAATTTATTTATATTTCGGCGTGGATATTTACATTTGTTTAATCAAATACATATAAACTTTAATTGTAATTACGTAATCAAATTAATTAAGTGTAATTAATATTTAAGATGGTATTTATCAATGGCACGCAAAAACTATATGAGGACTCGAGATAAGTCAACAAATTCCCCTACATATACATAGACATATATTAAATAAACGTGAACACACACAACTAGTGTTACCCAAACTGGGGCGCACTGGGTTTTTGTCTTGGTCTTTCAGTTAGTTTACCTATTAGTTTATTGCTATTTTTTAAACATGTTACTTAAGATCTTAGAAAAACGCTACAGAATAGGTACATTTAGATGTTCAATTGACATAAACATAGTGCAGTCCAAACAAATTAACAAAATTAACTGAACAATACATTAAGGCATTATCAAGAAAGACAGTGATAGACCCCAAATTGGAATGGAAAAGTTAACAATAAATACAATCTACACAATGCCCTCAATTATTTAAATACAAAATCAAGTCTCTCCACTCACATGACTTTTCTAGTCTCCCCACTCACATGACTTTCCTACCAATTTTAAATATTTTTTTTTTCAATTTTTAATATGATCATTAAAAATAACAAAATGAAATTAAACTAATTTTCTTGATCACCGTTCAGACAAATCATTAGAGTAGGATTTCTTTGATGAACTAAAACAATATAAACGGCCAAGTGAACAATTATAAAAATCTATGTATAAAATTCAATACACTGTAAAGTTGTTAAAACAGGTCCGATTTAGACGATTTTTTTTTACAGTTTTTGAAAATTTAATAAACCATTTGAAAAATGTTACCACGATATACTATAGAGATATTACTGTCATTTTTCAGAATAGGGACACCTAAGCCGAATAAAAATTTGTAAGAGTAAATTTACAAGTACGAGTATATTGGTACTTCCGATTCTTTGCATATAGTAATTAAAATTGTTTAGTATTAGTAACTATTTA